GGAGATTCTTTCTTTCCCTCACCACAATTTATTTTCAATCTTCACATTCTCATCTTATTTTCTCTCAGTTCAATTGTTCTTTCAAGGAAAATTTTGAGCTCTACATCATCAAGGATCCATTTTAAAGCTTCTTAGTAAGTCCACGCTAAACTTCATAGCCTTGTTCCAAGTTCATACAAAAATCTTTCCTCTTACAACTCAATTTTCGTGTATATGCTCTTAGAATACCCATAACTCAAGTTAGGATTCGAAAATCCTTTATCTTCTTCATCTACATCATGAAAACTCAAGATGAGCTTCATACCCCACTATTTTTAATGTTTTCATACTCTTTGAGAGGGGGGGGGGGATACAAATCAAAGTTTCGCTTAACCATTGGATAATTGCATCGACCATTGTGTTATGTATTTAAGTTTTGGGTTATTACTTGAACATGAAGTTTATCACATAGATCTGCATAAAAATCATAAGAAAAGAATGTGTTATCATATATGTTACATTTAAACCTGTAAATGTGGGTTATATACTCAAATATATAAAAAATGAGTGTTGTATTCAAACATGCATAACTTAAACTTAACCAACAACTTTCAGCAGACAAGTTATGTATCTTTCAAGGACTGTTTTGACCAACTTGAATGTCATATTTGTCAAAACTATTTTACATGCAAACATTTCAGGTTTATACCTTTCAAATGACTACTCTCACGCATTCATACGATTTTTCTACAAATTTTGGCGATTTTTACAAAACCGCTATCATTTTAGGAATAATCTCGGATGAGTTTGTGAAGATGAACAATTTCACACTAGTTGGAGGCCATTAAAAATTATGAAAAAAATTGTGAACAAATTACACTCAATTTCAAACTCCCAGAGTTTACGGATCCAAATTTCGACTTACGATGATTTTTCTATTCTATTTCTAAAAACAGGCACAGAAAATCCAAAAATAAGAAAACTGTTTTAACTATTAAAAGTGCATATACTTGTGTTGAGATGTAAGTTTTAAAGGTTGTAACCTTTTGAAAACACTAAGACATGATAACTTGCATCTGCGTATACACTTGATCGTATAAATATTTTCAATTACACTAGATATACTCAAGTCGTTTTACAAGAAAGAGAAGTCATAGTTTACGTAAATCTGTTAAGGCTCATGTGAGACTCTCCTTTAGTCGTACCTACCTAGCATACGTGGTAAGTCTTGTTAGTTATAAACAAAGTCTCTTGGAAGGAGAACGGAAGTTTGTGTATAGATCTATACGGGGTTGACATCCCACACCTGAGTTGTTCGCTGCAGCTAGACTAGGCCACTCTAGGGTGACAAATATCTTCTCAGAAACTGACACCTGAAGAGCGTCAATACAGGCACTCCATCATATTAGTATGGTTATAGTGACTCACATAGGGAATAACAACACCATTTCGGTTTACGAGAAGCTTTACTTCGTTAGTTTTATTAAACAAAATGAAACTATATATGAAAATGTTTTACACTATTCATTTTCATCATGGTCTTAGGGTTTAAGACTATAGTTCGCTATTAAGAAAATGTTGAATTTTCTGGATACATTCATTTTTACTCTACAAGGAAAAGATACATAGAGAGTAACAACATTATTTGTATTTACAAAGGGTTTACACTCTACTAGTTTTTACAAAATACCAAACTATGTTTCGTATACTTTGTAAACTGATTTCACCACTCGGGTCTTAGGGTTGTAAGCCCACAACACCTTTCTATATAGAAAATATAGGATTTTTATGGGATACACTCTTTTCAAATATAACCAAAAGATAATAAAGGACGTGCATGCAATTTTACACGGTTTTAGAACTAGACTCACAAATTGCTTTTTATAAAATATATTGGATTTTCTGGAGTTTTAAAACTTATTATAAGTAATGATATTACAATGTTTAGCCTACAAACATGCTTATGAACTCACCAACATTCTATGCTGACTCTTTTCAAAATGACTTGTATTCTCGGGGTCGGTGAACAGGTATTCGAGCATTGGATCAGGATTATTTTACTACCTTTTGAGCAATCTTACTTTATGTTATTTTTGTGTAATTGTTAACCAAGTATAATTTGTAAAACAATCAATGATGGTATATTGTAATGTATGATGTATGATTGTTATGTTTCATTCATATTTAATTGTTATGATACTGTAAATGAATCATTCGCCCCCGGACATTTCCGCCATCCTGGTTCAGGGGCGTGACATAATGGAACATGAAGATTTCGCTTTTCTAAGAGCTTTTGACCTTAGGTGTTGTTGGAGCAATGCTTTCTAACTATTTAGCTCTAATTCCCTTATTAGATCGCTTAGCTATCCAACATGAATTTTGTTTTCCAATTCTCCTTAAAGCATAGTGCATTCGATGGTATCATGTCCAATGGAATCGTGAAATTCATAATACTTTCCTTGCTATCAACTTCCTGATTTCTCTCCCAAAATTTTGCCTAGTTATACTTTATGCCTTCATCTACTCTTTCAACATTATTTCTTTCTTCATTTCTTCGTAATGGATAGCTTTAGCTTTGTTGCACAACGCGAGAGTCGGACGAACACTAGGTTAGAAAGATTTACTGAGGAATGACCCCAGTACAGCTCTCTGAAGCCTAACTTAGATGTCGAGTAAAAGTGTAGTAAAATTGCTTAAGATGAGAGAGTCATTCCTTTACCAATGTGTATCGAAGTTCTTATATACATATGGGATGGTGTGTGTTATTTCTTCTTTAACTAGGTGGTGCTTTTATCCGTAAGATGTAATGGTTGTACCCTTCAATATAATAATACTACAATTTCCGTGTTTCTCGGGATGTTGCATAAGGATTCGTACAGGTGATTTTGTTGCCATAATATATTGCTTCCTGGTTTAGGTGGTCGATTTACTTCTGTTGAAGAATTATGTCCTGGTAAGCTATCAACTTATTATATGTTGTCTGAGTGTGTTAGGTTATATGGTATTGTTTTGTGTATGGATTGACCCCCATACACCATTACTTGCTATGGAAGGACTCAACATAATAATGAAATGCTCTTGTGAGATGACAATCTTCAAATTTGTCAAAACTTCAAATAATGGTCCATGGATATCACACTCATTTTATATGGACTATGCATTCTTCATTAGTGATTGGTCATCTAATCACCCTAAAAAACTGGACCCATATTCTTAGATGTTTTCATGCATCTTCCATATTAAAGGTCAACTTCTACAAATCGAATGTTTATTTGGTATTTGTTTCACGAATAGAGAAATATATACAGTAGTGCTAGAATCCTTGGATAGATGTGATGTGGTTTCCTTTTTATTCACCTATTTAGGAGTCTCAGTGAGAACCAACATGACCCTTACGAAGAATTGAAGACCCATTATTGATAAAGTTTAGTCGAAGCTACTTAACTGGAAATCAAAAACTCTTTTGTTTGAAGGATGCTTCAGATTGGTCAAATCGTTACTTGCAAGTCTTCCTAATTATTATTATTTTCACTATTTAGGGATCCTATGTGAGTCATTCATTCATTCAAAAAATTTCATAGAAAGTTCCTATGGGATAGGGATGAAGACAAAACTAAATACATTGGGTTGTCTGGGACAAAGTTCTTACTACCATAGAAGATGGTAGTCTCGGAATAGGATCACTCAAAGCCCTTAAGATTGATTTGGAGGCAAAAAATGGACAAAAACTCCCTTTCAAGTATGGTCATCAAAGGCATACAAAACCTTAGAAGGAAACAACTACCATATATTTAGCAAAACAAATATGATAAATAGAGTATGGAACAACATCATCAAAGTGAAGTTTGATATCGAACTGATGAGGTTGCATCTTGATAACTGTTTATCTATTTATGTGGGCTTTGGACAATGCACATTGTTCTAGAAAGAAAGATGGATGGGTGAAACATTTCCCTTCTCTTTATAATACTGAAAAACAGAAAATGTGTTCTATTGTAAGAAAAAAAAATACTGCTTATAATTATTTATGTATCCATTTCGCTCGTTTGGAAGATAAGAAACAATTCGATTTTTAGCAAGGTCGCAACCCCTCCGACAAAAACGGTCTATAATATAATTGCTTTGGTAGGAATGTTTCTTGGTGTATTTGGTTCTTATACAGATCTAAAAAATTGTTTGTAATCTTTTTTTTTCAGCTAGCATACTTTTGGATGCTATCGGTTTATGAAATTCTTCGTGTTGCCCAATAAAAGTGTTTATCATTCGGTAAATTGGGTTTGTAATCCTTTTTCTTGTCTATAACTTTGCAGTTAGACCTTGTTCTCCCACTTCTGAACGTCTTTCTAGGTTGTGATTTCAAGTTTTTATTTAATTCTCGTCGGTTCCAAAAAATTATAAATTAGTAATTCAATAATTTATAAAGGTATAATCACAAAAAATTATAAATTAGTAATTCAATAATTTATAAAGGTATAATCTTTACTCGCTAGTCCATTTTATGTCCTCTAGAGGTATGCTTACCAAGAGCAAAAGTTATCAGCAATGATCCACAACTATCCATCATTTGTTGAGTTGTGAAAGACGTACATTACAAAAATAATTATCATTCTCTAAGCCCGAAAGTAATACATTTTTTCTACTTAAAAATACAACGGTAGAGTTACACGACACCAATCCATGAAAGTATGCCACTCACCGACTATTACACTTGATCATGATTAGTTACCACGGGGATCCAAGAACCATGATAGGTTTGAATAATGAATAAAAAAAATGATAGTCAAAGTTAAAAATAGAAACATAAAATTATGTCACACAAGTAACTAAATTGCAATATATAATAAATCTAAAATATCATAGTTGGATTATCGTATGCTTATTAGAGCAAAGAAAACTTGTATATATATCGACGAATAAACACTTGCCATTTATTTCAGTTGTATACGTGTGTTTATTTTATATATATATATATATATATATATATATATATATATATATATATATATATATATATATATATATCGTATCGATTCAAAGAGATGCATGGAGTTCATAGTGGCCATATTGATTGAAATTGTGCAAGATCTCCATACCCTTCTCCACCCATCCTGTCCATAACTTGTGCTTCATATCCATTTACTCCCTGCCACATAAATTTATTTGGACATTTTGTTACCTATGAATAATATCTCTTAACAAATGCATTAATGGAAAAGAACAAACATGCAATTCATATATGATCATCTGTTGTTGTTTATATTAAGTGGCACATGAGTTATGTTTACCTATAATTTGACAAAAAATAAAGGGAATATGACTTAGGAGGGTAACTACCTTTTATCCGTGTTCACATATTGACAACTTCTTCTTTTTTGTACATAATAACGCAATTAACTTGTTTTAACTGTTTAAATTACACCAATATTACCGGTTAATATCTGTTTTAACCGGTAACTCAAAGAGAAAATGACTTAGGAGGGTAACTACCTTTTATCCGTGTTCACATATTAGAAACTTCTTAATTTTTGTACATAAGAAAGCAACTAACTTATTTTAACTATGTAACATCCCAAAAATCATGAACAAAAATTTCGTTTTTAATTTAATAATAAAACCATAATTGTCAAACCATTCATATAATATGATATATGTCATCATTTAAATGGATAGGAGGATTGATATAACTTATTTTTGGGAAAATGATTTAGGAGGGTAATTACCTTTTATCGAAGTATTAAATTAATGGTTTGACAATTATGGTTTTAGTATTAAATTAAAAACAAGATTTGTTGTCATGATTTTTGAAATGTTACACAGTTAAAACAAGTTAGTTGCTTTCTTATGTACAAAAAATAAGAAGTTGCCAACATGTGAATACGGATAAGAGGTAGTTACCCTCCTAAGTCATTTTCCTTTTGAGTTACCGGTTAAAACATGTATTAGCCGGTAATATTTGTGTAATTTAAATAGTTAAAACAAGTTAATTGATTTATTATGTACAAAAAAGAAGTTGTCAATATGTGAACACTGATAAAAGGTAATTACTCTCCTAAATCATTTTCCCAAAAATAAATTATATCAATCCTCCTATCCATTTAAATGATGACATATATCACATTATTATATTAAAATATCATTAAATTTCATTGAATTAACATTAAATAATTCATATGTCAACGATTTAATTGGATTGGAAGATTTATTAGAACAAAAGTTACAAGGATATTTAATTTCTCTAGTGATAAACTATACACCTAAAAACTAATATATAAAAACACCATTCAAATAGTGTTTTCTCCTCATCCTTTGCAAGAAATGAGAAAACTCCTACATTAGAAAACCTATCGTTTGAAAGCTTTCCAAGTGCGTTGGTGGTGTACCCGAGATTTTGTTTTAGACTAGGGAAAATAATTTTCAAAATATGAACTAATGGAAAATTTCTTCAAACGATAACAAAATATAACTACATATGCATTTTAAATTAAATTGTTAATTTAAGTTGCCCAAGATGTTGACTTGCATCAATAAAATAATCTTAAATGAAGTTTAGTCAATAGCCAACAATGTTTTCCTTTTTATTGGCCATATTACAACTATAATTCTTTTTATTTAACAAAAATATATATTTTACATATCATATATATTAACTCAAATTTGTATGGATGGGTCAAAACCACTCTTGCACCTATAAAGTATTTTAGCTTATCTTTCTAGATATTAAAATTATAAAGAAGCTCAAGCAATGCAAATGAAAATGTTGATTTTTATATGCATATTTAATTTGGTTTCTAGATAAAAACGTATATTACCTTCATTGTATCCAAAGCCTCCATTTCAGCGGAGTTGAAGTCATAAAACATGCTTGCCGCTGAGAGCTTCATTGACAGAAACTGGAAAAAAGAAAATAATTAAGACAATCAAGGATCTTCATCGTGATCATGAATTTATTATTTTATCTAGAAATTCTTCTCACACAATTTACCTCTATCTGATTCTGCAAAGATCGGATATAACTAATTGTTACGTCCAACATTACTGACATTCCCATTGTCTGCAATATCTCATGAAAAAAAAAAATAAGACATTAACTTCTTATCACAAGAATCGGAAAGTAAAGACATCTGAAAAATGGGGAGAAAGCTATTGGTTCATACCTTATAACAACCTGGAACTAGTTCTTGCAAACATCGTAGCTTTTGGTTTATTTTCTCCCTTCTCATCTGATCCAAGAATAGAACAAATGAAACAAGGAAATCAATTTAGCACTATTAGTTGCTCTAAAATATCCTATTAGTGCTCCAAGAAAAACTACATTTTATCTACCATATACAAAAGATATCAATGAACTATATATACAACCTAAAGCCTATTTTGGATTTCTTTCTCCTTTATGAAAAAATTTAGTTTCAGAGATTTCAAAACGAACCCTTTCAGCCAAACTATGACTATCAGTAGCTTCACCTCTCCTTGCTCTAACATGAACAACTTCTCGTGGTTTCTCCGCTTCAGCTTTGATGTTTTTCTTTCTCTTTTTACCACCATAGCCCTGCAAGATATGAATTGGTCAAAACGGATGAACAAATAGATAAATCCCACACGAATCTATATACCCATCTTGTGTATCCAAGAGATAAGTTTAAGTAACAAATTAAGGAAAAAAGCGTACATAATTTCTGATTCCTTTATTCTCTCCAGTAACTCCACAACTAAATACGGACGATTTTGAATTCCCCAAGCTTTCAACACCAGACATCCTCTTGATAATATCGTCTATGGTGGTAGGGAGATGTGTCGTCGGATCATAGAAAGAAGCACCCTGATGACATCTACTTGAATTAATGCTTAGATCGTTATTAGTGCCATCGGGTAAAGGCATGAATGGAAGACTACGCTCATTACTTTGATGATGATGATCTGAGAAATTGTCGGCAGACATAGGCGTAATCCCATGAACACTAATATTGGATGAAATGAAACTTCCAAGGGAAGGATTGATGTTGTTTTCTAGAAGTTCCATGCTTGTTTCGATTCCTAGGGTAAGGTGATCATCCATGAGATGAAAGAGAGTTTTATTTTCTTGTAACAAGCTTCCAAACACTTAGCGCAAGAAAGAAAAGTACAAAAGGTTCTTATTGGTTAGTTTCAACACCATCCTACTTTCATGTTTCTTAGTTTAAGTAGTAATAGGGATATTAATTATTAAGCACTTTATTTCATATTTTTTTTATTTACGATGTTATTGAGCTCTTTTTATGATGTTGCATTCAATAAGCATGGTCTACAAGATAAGATTAATGCCTAGGTAAATTGACGGCTAGGCCCATTCCTTGAGTTTCATGTTATTGCTCAGCCTAGCAAGCTTAAGTGCTTCAAACATACTTGGCAAAACTTAAATATTATTAGTCCGAGTTCAGCTTTTGTACTAGATACTTATTCCTCTTATATGATTTTGGATGAACTATGGTAAAACGTAAAGGTTGTTGACGCAACCAAGTGGAAGTTGAAAGTATGTATGGTGCTGAAACTATATTGGTTCCAATTAAAGTTCAAGACATGTTGAATTGGACAATAAGATTACTTTTGGTAAGTATGGGGCATTTGGATGATGCATTTACATTGATAGGCTTTTAGCCATGGGAATCTTGGAAACAGAAGAGAGAGCTAGCTAAATTACCAAGCTTTCTTCTTATTTTCTTCTTCGATCTATAAATACACCGGTAGTTTTTAACTAAATTATTAATGTTTTTGGTGGTTTTTGTAATATAAAGTTAATGACTAGTACAGATTAGTTGCGGCTGGTTTTACTGATGGAATAGTTACAAATTAACTTAAAAACCCTAATATTAATGACGGAATGCCGACGGAATAACGATGGAAAGTGTTTCTGTCGGAAATCCGTCACTAAATACCGACAATCAAATAAAAGATTAATAAATTATTTATTTATTTATTATTTTGGTGTTTGTGGATATATATATATATATACCGTCGGTAATCACCGACTAATATATGTTGAAACACATTTTTAACATATAATACAATTTTTTTTATCGGTATTAGTAAGAAAGTTATTATTATTATTATTATTATTATTATTATTATTATTATTATTATTATTATTTTTACTTTTTTAACAAAATTCAAATAATTGTTTTTCAAACAATTCAATTCTTGTTATATATATATATATATATATATATATATATATATATATATATATATATATATATATATATATAGAGAGAGAGAGAGAGAGAGAGAGAGAGGGAGGTAAGTTCAATTGATAAAATATAAAAGGTTGAGAATGAGAATTATTCTCAATCAATCATTTTTATATATGTAAAACACATTTAGATTAAGTCATTAAAGACACGCAGTTTTTCTAAATTGTTCATTCGTTCTTCATCAACACCATATGTTATTCATTCATCTTGATCGTTCATCTGTTCTTCATCAACATCATATCTTTTCCATCAACATCATCTGTTCTTCATCAACGTCATCTGTTCTTCATCAAAAAAACATCAACGTCGACTATTCATCATCAAAAGACATCGACACTTCATAAAACATCAATTCTTCATCAAAATCTTCTTTATTTCATCAAAATGTTGTGATTCATCATCAAAAACATTTATTCGTACTATTAAGTGTAAGCCGTGATTCAATCTTGTCCAGTTTCGTTGATGTCAAGCAAAATCGATAAACATAATTCATATTTATCGATGTCACATCATTTTGCGATCACCAGTCATCAAAACTTCATCAATCAAACCTTCACCAATATAAAAAAAAAAACAGATAGCAATCGAAAGTGCATCAACATAACCATATTTGAAGATTTTTTTTTAAATCGCTTTTAGGGTTGAAAAGCTTCGTTTTTCATAAAAAAATTTCACATTTTTTGATCTAAACCTACTGATTATTGATCAGTTTTGATAGGATTTGGTTTGTGTTGTAATTATTGGCTTCAATTGTTAATTTTTTAACCATAATTATATAAGTTAATTTATTTGTACTTCAACTATTCGATGAAATGTATAAACTAAATATATCACATAACATTCACAAGTGAATATGCATTTACACAAAAATCAATGTATGTCTTTTAAAAATACAGAGCAACTATATAATTCATATGTGAATAACGTATAAAAATTATTTTTATATGCGAATACATGTAATATTCAAAAATTATGATTTATTTTTTTTTCGAAAAAAAAAAACGTTGTTTTGATGTCCTAAGCAAGTTTGTAATTCATATGTAAGTAACATATAAAAATTATATCCGCGTGTGAACATATGTAATATTCAAAAATGAATAAAACTGTCAATAAACCCGAGGACTACAAAATATAAAAAATTAAAGATAAAAAATATTTGATAAGAATATATATTTATTCACATACAACTAATCTTTTTAGGTTAATAAAATAATTATATAAGCATATATATTTTTATTAATGTTATATTCATTTGTGAATAAATGATAATTTTTTTTCGGAAAATCATAAAAGTAGAAAAACGTCATTTTGAGGCTCTAAATAGTCCCGAATAGCCGAAAACACCGTATGTCACGGCGAAGTCGTGAGTTTAGTAAATCGCACCATTTTACATCAAATATGCAAATTTCATCCAACTCTGAGACTAAACTTCATTGCGGCAAATTGTTTTGATGATGTCACTAAATTTTCATTCCTACTAGTGATGACATCATCATGACATGCTATTTATTCATGTATGAATAAAGTTTAGAATTCATTATGATATATTTACTGATGATGTTACTAACTTCAATCCCACTATTAAAAACATAATTATGATATAAAGCTTTATGTTTGCAGCGGGGGATTAGTCGGTGCGCGAAAGCTGGCCCGGAAACCCTCGTTAGGGAAGTTCCCTTTCCAAAAAAAAAAAAAAAAAAAAAAAAAACATAATTGTAATCTGTTATTTTTATTTATGTGAATAAACTGTACACGTTAATTTATTTATTTTGTGAATACAACCTTTATATATAAAAACAAATAATACACTATAAGAATTGGTTTGTGAATAGTTTTTTTTTTGTATATTGTAACAATATTATTTTACATGTAAAATCAACAATCAACATTATACTAAGACAAACAACATTGTATTGGTTAATGAATATCAGTTGCATTTTAATTTAACACGATCAATATGAAGAATATATTAAATTGTATAACATTTACACGTGAATATAAAAACGTATTGTCTTCGTCAATGATATCTTCTCAATTACGTCAACTAATCGTCAACCACTAGGATATGAACCAACCGTTGATTGAAATGTTATTCTTTTATTAAGTTATAATGATATCTAAAAAACATGTGAATACATATAAAAAAAATGTTAAAAATATACTTTTAGTTCATAATAATAGCGATTTATCACATTCTAATTATCACATGGTATATTCACACATCAATGTAAAATCATATGTGAATATTATATGATATATGTTGTTTATATTGTATATTTACATGTGATATTACATAGTATATTCGCAAATGAATATTACATTGTATATTCACATATGACTATTATATGGTAGATTCACATATGAATATTATATGATATATTACTTATGAATATTACATTCTAGTCACATCTAAATATTGCATGGTGTATTCATTCATGAATATTACATAGTATATTCACATATGAATAATATATAGTATATACACTTGTGAATATGATATAATATATTCATATTTAAATATTAAATGATGCATTCACTTTTGAATATTACATCGTATTTTCACTTATGAATATTAGATGGTATATTCATATGTGAATATTTGACAATTTATTCACATATGAATATTACACATGATATTAACATATGAATATTACAAGGTATATTCACAAATATATATATATATATATATATATATATATATATATATAATTTATATATGTTATTCACATATGAATAACATATAAAATTGCATATTTTTTTGTGTTTTAATAATCATATACTGATTAAGGTGTGAAAACATATTCATATGTGAATATAACGTGGTAATTTAATTTCTGCATTTCATCAAACAGTTGGAGTGCATACATGTAAGCTTTTTTAAAAATGCTAAAAATATGATACTTTCACTATTTAAAACTTACAAAATAATAAATTGATAGAGAAGTATATGAAATTTTTCAAAAAAAAAAAAAAAAGATTTGATGTTTTTCTAACCTTAATTTCGAAGTTTTGTTTGATGACTGATGTTCAATGAATGATATGAAGTGAAATTGTTGTTGATTATCAATGATGTTGATCTAATTACATTGTGAGTATAATTAATCGTAGATGTTGAAGATATGCTCATATTCTAGCATAATTGAAGGTTGGATTGAAAGAACCAAAAATGAATTTTTTTTTTCATCTACTGTTGAATGATGTTGATGAACGTGTTTTTGACAAAGATGGAGGATTGAGTAACACTAGATGATGTTGATCGATAATTTAATTGAAGAAATTTGGATGATTGTTGAAGGTTAGAGAGGAAATTTGGATGATGAACGATCGAGTAGTAATGAATTTGAATTGTTATGAAATTATCCAAAGTTAAGTATCTATGATTGAAGAATATCATATTATATTTACAGGTTTTCCACCGTGTATTTTTTAATAAGATGCTAATTAAATGATTGGTTGAGAATGATTCCCCAATTCTCTACCTTTTTTTCTCAATTGAACCTTCCTATATATATATATATATATATATATATATATATATATATATATATATATATATATATATATATATTATAAATAATTGGTGGATAACATAATAATTGGTGCATGATAAATTTGTTAACATTTCTAACTAGTTATAATTATATTTTAGTAAAATTTGGAGTATAAATACCTCTCCATTGTAAAGAATGAGACACACCAAAAGTTATAAGAGATATAACTTTCATATTCTCTTTAAATATTCTTTCTTCTCAATTAAAATTCTTATCAATGTTTATTAGTTTGGTTTGGTTTAAAGTTACATTAATTACACTTAATTCATAACACGTTATCAGCACGAAAGCCTTAATCAAGGTTATTAAAGAAGTGGAAATCACATCTATCTTAATCAAGGTACGTGTTATTTAGTAAAACACTATTAATTATAAAAACCTCCATCATAGTAAAATAATAATTATAATAACGAA